GATTTGTGCTACATTTCAAAAATTTGTAGATTTTATTTATACACTTTTTTTTTTGTTTAAATTATATTTTATGAATTGTAATATTTTGCATGGTACTTTAATGACTAAGGTATAATGTCAAAATTCTAAACCATAACCACTTTCGTTAATTTTATTTTTTAAATCTGTTTTTCAATTTTTGATTTTTCATATTTTTTCAGTTTTGGTGATTAAAGATACTAAAATTTTTACATATTTTATATTTAAATTATACTTTTATATGAAAATATAATATCTATTAATCTAAATAGTATTAAAAAATCAAATATTGGTAGAAAAATTTATAAATTCAAACATTTACTGATTTTTTATTATTACATTTTTGTTGTTGTTATTATTATTATTATTTAATATTAATAATTTTTTTTCCAAATAGAATTCACAACAAATTATTTTTATGTGTATTTAGATTAAGTGAATCTAAATCTAAAGGTAAAATTAAAAAATAAAAAGTATTAAATTAGGTGAATCTAAAAAGAAAATAAAACGGTTATTAAAAAAACAGCATCAAAGACCAAAAAAAAAATCAAAATCAAAAAATTCAAAATAAAAGTTTGAAAAAACAAACTAAACCAAACACTATAAAGTTCTCTCTTTTTTGAAATCATTCTTCACTAATCTTTAATTTTACACAAATTATTTTCAAATTTCTTCAATTTTTATGTGAATTGAATAATCTAATTTAAAAATGGTGCATACACACAAAAATGTAAAACTAAATATCTACATTATGACCAACTATTTAATTATAAATAATTAATTTCTCATTGTTATTTGTATTATATTGTTCCAAAAGATTTCACATATTATTTTTGTGATATCTTATATATGTCAATGTCTACATATATAAATATATACATGTAAATTTATATATATTACAGTATTCATATATTGTTAATCGGTAATTCTATATTTTCATCGGATATTTTTATTTTTTAACATGTATCGCTTTAGTAATATAGTTATATTTGTTAGGAAAATATAGCGAAATTGTGTATTGTTCTCTTATCAACTTATGTTCAATACATATATGTCATACAAACAAGTGTCCATAGCAAACACTTTCAATAATAAACTAAGACTTTACAAAACACCTACCTCACGACAATAATTGTACATTTTATATTTATTTTTTTACGACAATTATATAGCAATTGTATACTAAGACTTTACAAAACACCTACCTCACGACAATAATTGTACTTTTATGGTGTGTTTGATTGGACGGACTGGATAAGGGGGGATTAGAATCCATCGGATTTGAGTCCTGGGATTATGAATCCCGGACTATTTGGTTGGATTAGATATGTATCATATGTTTGTTTTTTCATGGGATTAGATGTCTGGAAAGGACTATTTTTAGTGAATCCAACATTTGGTTGGACGGACTGGATAGGATAAATGACCAAAAGACTATTTTATCCTTTTTCAATAGTTTATTAAATAATAACAATATTAAACATATCTTTAATATTTTAATTATTTTTATCTAGATTAAATAAAAAATTATTTTATTTTATTTTTTACACAATTAAATAAATTTATTTTTAAAAATTTAAATAAATAAAATATCAATAAAAATATATGTTATTTTTTAATTAAAATTTTAAATAAATTTGTTTTTAAAAATAATAATAATTAAACAATGAAATTAAATAAAACATCTATTAACATTTAAATAAAAAGTTAAATAAAATTATTTTATTTTTAAATTGAGACATTTAAATTTTATTGAATTTTACTAAATATAATACATAATTAAATAGTAGAGGGTCAAAATGGTCATTTTCGCATCTAATCCCAACAGTGAATAATCCCCCACATTCTATCCCACCCCCCCCCTAGGACACAATAGTCCCCCATATGGGGGATAAGGAGTCCAGACATGTCCGATGGACTAAAAAAAAAAAAACAAACGGCAGATTGGATGTTTCCTCCGGATTACAATCCGCACAGTAAATAGTCCCCCCCTTATCCCCCAATCAAACACACCTTTATATTCATTTTTTTCACGACAATTGTATAGCAATTGTATACTAATGACTGATATTATATTTTTCATCATGCAATATATTCATGACACAGGAAACAAGACTCAACAACTCTAAATATACAAAAATATATTACATATTAATATTAATGTATTCTTACACCAATAAGATGCAAATAATATGCAATGGTACATTCAATGAATTTGTATTATCAGATGAACTATTAAACAAAATTATGTAATTGTACAATTAATTTCATACCTTCAATTGTATTATAGGTACAGATTATGAAAAATTGAAGTGAGACGTTGATAGAAAAATATTTGTGTAATACTATATATTTAAAGGGCCTATTGATTGTTTATTGTTTAAAATAAGATTATAATCTCAGCAGTTTAGTTATAAATAAATGTTTATGTTTATAAATTTTTTATTTATCATTTAAATTCTTCAGCCGAGTACATATTCACTTATTGTTTAGTTGCTTTTTCATACAAATCAATTTACCTATATAAGTCTCTATACTTTGTATACATATCACATACCAATTTAAAAGACATGTATAATTACAGTACTAACAATTGATAAAAAATCACATACTACGTGCAACGCACATGCCCAACCACTAGTACTCTAAAAAATATAAGAGAAAGATGTTGAGTTAGTAAGCACCCACATAAATTATTTCGGCCTCTGAGACACGACCCAAATAAATTATTTATTAGTTTATTTCTATCGCATCACCTTCTTATTTGTTTATCTTTTCATAATAAAAAAAAATTAAAAAATAAATCATATCAAAAACAACCTTACGTTAAATTGATACAGGCTTTTTAAAACAGAAATTCTAATTGAGGGCCCATTGACTATTAAAAAAATGTGAGGGCCAACATACATGAGGAGATCTAATAACATTGAATATCCAACATAAAGAAGACTAAATTCAGGTTAGAGGATAAAGAACCAAGACCAAGGTGGCTAAATTCTGTGTCAAAATAAACAAATAAATAAACAAGACCGTATCAAATATCAGACTACACATGAAAGAAGTCCCATTAACAACGCAATTGGAGAGACTGCTGCTAGGGAAGTTTTGGTGAATTACATTGTCAAACCTGCTGTGCACAATATGGGCTCAGAAATATTCAAACACTTCTTTGTGCGACCCCAAAATTTCAGTCGCAGAATTGCGATTGTGATGTTCTTCTTTATGCTGCTCGTGTTTGTTCTATTCTACATAAGATGATACATAAACCCCTTTTGTTTTCTGTTTCTGATTGAAATTAGAGTTCATTAAGTGTTATTATTAACATTACATTCAATTGAAAGTATTAACCTTCTTTTATATATATATATATATATATATATATATCAAGACAATTTTATCTCACCTTTCTAAAAATTATATTCTGATTTCCACGCTATTTCAGGATTCTTATGAGCGCCTCAAAGGACTATATCGGCTGTAATGTTGGGTATTTGAAATGGTGTCATTCTGTCTGATATGATTGTATTTGGTGAAATAAATTATGTGATAGTATGGGAGCAAATACATATAATAGTATCAAACCTTATGTACGCTATGGGAAATGGATTCATTCATTCATATAAGAGAACCTGGGATACTGATCTTTATAGAGGCTGCTCCTTAATATGAATGAAAGAATGCTCTCCATAATAACTAACAAGGTTCAGTGGGCTGCCCATGAAATATAGATCTTCGCGACCCAAATCAAATCAACAAGGATTCAGAAAGCAGTCACTCATTTTTGCGCAGAAGCTCTTATTTTACTTTATGTGATTGCCGAAGCATGATAAAGAAACTATTAATCACCTCTTTATCAAGAAGAGTGAACTTGCTGTGGAGGTTTGGAACTAGAAAAATCCTTTGTAGCTCGAAATCTCTCTGCCCCAAATGGCTCGACTGCCCAAAACAACGTCGTTTTGGGCAGTTTTTTTTTTTTTTCTTCCTCCTATGTCTGAAACAGAGAGGAGAGAGAAGAGAAAAGAAAAGGAAGAGAAAGAGAGAGAGAGAAGAGAGGGGAAGAGGGAATAGAGAGAGAGAGAGAGAGGGTCGATCGCCGCCTCCGATCTCCGATTCTTCTCCACCGCCCGGCCTCCAATCTCTGTATGATGATGATGCTTTGAAATTTTTTTTCAGATTTTTACATTTTTTTTTTTTGGTTGATTTCTATGGTGGGTTTGTTTTTTGGTTGATCTTTATACGTGATGATGATGATGTGTTTGGTTGATGATGATGATTCTTTCCCGCTTTCTCTGGAGTGTTGATGATGATGTGTTGGGTGGGTTTGATTTTTGGTTGATGATGATCTCTCTGCTTCTCTCCTCTTTTCTTATTCCTTCTTCTTCGACTTTGTTCTTCTCCTCCCAGTAATGGAAAGAACGGTAAAAAAAAAAATTTTAATTTAAAATTTAAAAAAAAAATCAAAACGACGTCGTTTTGAATTCGGGTCAATTTCGAGCTCAGAAATTTTGAGCTACGTAGTGGAACTGTTTGGAACTATTTGGATTGCCTTTCAATATCAAATCCTTCCAAACGGATTCCATTCGGTCCACAATAGCAGGAAATTCGAAACAAAATATCTCAACTGACTGCAATGCAACAAATTACCAACTTAACAGATGTTTTTTTTTTTTTTGGGATAAATGAAACTTCACTGATTTTTTTTCCCACATCCTGCAAAGATCCACACAATAAAACACCATGTGTACAACTAGAGCCCAGAATATTTAGAAAATAGTGGTTCTTTGTCTGTGGATCCAAGTAGGACATGAAAAAAACGATGGAATTCATCCGATGACAAATATCACTTTCCTTTTAGAAATATTCAAGTAATTCTTTAATTCTGAATTATTCGCAAGACAAAAAAAAAATCAGTGGAGCCTAAATATGTGAAAACTGCTATTGAATACTATCACAAGATGTTTAGCGATGGAACAAGGGCAGAATGACTTCAAGAAACTTTGTATTAATTATGAATTGGAAACAATAAAATATAGGGTATCCAATTGTAATGCCCATGATTTCTCCAAAAGAACTATAATTAAGAGTTCAACAATTTTGGAGTTACAAGACTTTCAAAAGTCATCGTTCAGCTCCTAAGTTTGTTGATCCCTGAAGATGCACTTTTATGATCATATACCTGTCAAAGAATTGAAAACCACACAATGTTATCGGCCTGACTGTACAAGAAGGTTCACCAATACACCATTCCTCATTGCCAAAGAAAGAAGATTGGCAAGAATGTTTCAACACCCTGTGGCAGAACCATGATTTACTCAGAGAAGGATTTTCAGATCATATACCAGATGTCATTGAATGTCCATAGATACAGCGGAAATGGCCATGGCTTCTAAAACTGATTGACCTTCTCCGTTTGAAGCTTCCATACTGTAAGATCTACAACTAAAGAAGAAAACCGCACTCATCATCGAATCAATAAGCACCACAAATGAATACATAAGCACCAAAAGAGGCCCTTCCCATAACCTTGAAGACCCATCTCCGTAGCTCAGTGTCTTCACTCTATGCTCAAACAACCCCTCAACAAATGCCAAACCAATTGTCGATCCAAGAAATATCCAAAGACCCACTTGAGTCTGGCCCCTAATCAATGAACTAGACCTCAACAATGCTTGGGGGCCCGAAACATCCTCTAATACACAGATCACAATAGCAATGTTACAAATTATGATAGCATTTGCAAACATGACTGAGAAGACAAGACCCACCAGCATCGCTGGATAAACAATTGAATTGGAATTGAACCCAATTATGGAAAATAAGCTGCTCACTGTTGCAAGAAGGACAAGAAACAGTGCAAGGCAACCAATAATAACCATACAAACCCACAAATACGTCGAAACAAGACGCTTCCAAATCTTGGTAACAATTACATAGAATTTGGACGGGTCGAACTTCTTTCTCGAATAAGTACAATCCACAGAGTAAACAACCGCGGCTTTTGACAAAAGCGACAATGTGATGTACAAAGGGAAGCACATTGTGGACGAAATGACCATCTCCGAGAACTTTTGACACGACTGTTTGATAAAAGGCCTAAGAGGAAGTCCACTGGACTTGGCAGCTAATAACAGCTTAATAGTCAGTCTCTTCACAATAGACTGATCAACCAACATATTCGATAAAAGAACAGCCGATACTGGGCATATAAGCAAAGCTGCTATACCCATGAAACCCATCGAATTGTACCGAAGAATTCGAACAGTTTCTCTCAAAATCTCCAAAGCACTCATAGAACGAAACTGATGATCATGCTCCAAAGATTCCAATTCAAAATTTTGAAGATCTGGGTCATCATGCTTCTCTTTTCGAGGACTAATTCCACAAGTTTCCATTTTTTGTCCGAAATTCAACAGAATCAAATAGCCCAAGATAAATCAAACCCTTAATTCGTATCGATACTATACCATTCAGAAGTAATAGCTGGGAATTTTAAAATGTTGATTGGTGTGAGTAATCAGATCTGAACCCAATACATTTCTAAGCATAGCTATGTAAGTGAAGATTGAAATGGCGATCTACATTAGGCAAAAACTGAAATAGAAGAGAAAGAGAGAGAGAGAGAGAGAGAAGGGATGGATCTGAAAGTGTGAAGGGGCTGAGGATTTCACGAAATGGGTACAGTAGAGAGAGAGAGAGAGAGATGGGGGTTACCTGGAAAAGGTGAATTGAGAGCGATAGGAACGTGGTGTTGGAAGAGAAGACACACGAGATGGGAAGGCGTTGGAGACAGCTCTGTTGGCGGAGATATGGGACGGTGATTTTGAGAGAGAGAGAGAGAGAGGCGTTGTTGATATTCTTGGACTTGGGCTTACGTTATGTTATGCAATCATACGCGTATCTACGACGAAAACGTACCACAATAATACACAGATGGCACCGACGCGCCATTAAGAAAAAAAATTGGAGGGAAATTACATCATTAGTCCTTAATTTATTTTATTTTATTAGTTTAGTTTAAGTGATAAGAACTTTTAGTATTTTTTATGAAAAATACATATATTTAAATGACTGTTGTCATCTTTTTAAGAGGTAAAATTATAAATTTATTTAACTCAATGAGTTAATTTTAACCAAATTAATAATCAATTTTTGTAAAAATTCATGATAGCATTATTAATTAGAACAAATCGATACAAAATTTAAAATTATGAGTCAAAATTAAATTATTTGAAAGTGTATGAATTAAAATGACACAAAAGGTAACATGTAAAGACTACCAATATAATTTGGCAAAAAAAAAAGATGAAATTATTGTGTACTATGAAACTTTGTAAGAAATGTGATGTATGATGTAAAATTAAAGTTAGTGGATATAAGTTATATTTATAATGAGTGAGGCATTTAGATGCAATTTTCAGAATAATGTTTTTAGATTTGTAGTACTGTTAAAAAAAAAAGTGCATCTCAAGAGGGTAATCATACAGAAAAATATGTGTGCACATAATTTGTGCATACAAAATATTCAAAATTTTATTACGTGGTTCATATTTAATTTATTAGCGGATGGTATACGCGATGCGTGTACAATTTAAATAAGTAAAAATTAAAATAATTAATTAATTAATTAATATTATAATATATATGTTACTTGGTAAGAGTATTTTTAATGAAACCCAATGGGTTCGTTTGAGAAAAACTTTTTATTTTTTGGCTAATTTAACTTAGCAAAATTAACTTGTTTGGATTTTTTTTTTTTTTTTTTACTTTTTTATGAAAAAAAAAAAGTAAAATGATTATGATTTAAATGTGATATTTTTATTTTATTATCTTATTTAATCCATTTTGTCTTTTTTATTTTTTTTAGTCGCAACACTGTCAACCATATTGTCAAACAGCTGCATTGTCGAGCATTGATAGAGACCCCTTCCAATCACCACCCCCATCACCCCCACACACACATGGCGGGTGGTGATTGAAGGAGAAGGAAAAGAAAAAAAATAGCAAAAGAAAAACTGGCTAATAAAAGGGAAAGGGGGTCAAGGCGGCGGGAAAAAAAGGGGTCTCAAATATTTTTACAATAATAATATGATATTATATTACCATCTCTCCTCGGCTTTGACATTTGTTTTCCTAACTGTTACTGAATGGGACTAAGCCCTAACAGGCTTTGACAGTTAAAATGGGCCTTTTGGGGTTAAGAATTGAGTGTTCGGGTTAAGAACATTGAGCTTAGAATTTTAGATGTATCAAGTCACAGAGGATTTGAGCTTTAGTGACAACGACGTATAATTTTTAGACTTTTAATCGGTGCCAAGCCATACAGAATTTGAAATTTTATAATCCGAATACGAAATGTTGAGTGGTTGAGAAATCGCCCCTTCTCCATTAAGCAATTTCTAAAATAATCAAATGTCGAAGAATATTCTCCAAAATATTTGTATTTAATGTAATTTTTTCATATGTTATTGTAAGATTTAAAAAAAAATTACAAATTTAATTATTAAAATTGATAAATTTTATCTGATTTGAAAATTATTTTGAAAAAACACACTCAATTGTAATTTTTTCAAAAAAATATTTCAATTGGAGTGTAATTATTTTTAAATCATTTTATTTAATTTATAATTAAAATCATTAAATCTTTGAATGCCAATAAACTCATGTGACACTATTTTTCATTGGGTCTAGCTTGTCTCAAGTTGAGATCAAGACTGGACCCGTCCAGTCCGGCCCATGGGATTCATTTTTTAGACCCGTTTTGATAATTTAAACCGTTCAGTGTGTAGAACTCGTCGAGTATTATATGCCTATAAAAAATCACGTTGATCGGATATCAATAGCTATGTGATCAAATCAGTTTTGTATTAAAAAAATAGACAGTGAAAAAATTAACGGTTGATAAAAAACTGTTTTGTTCACATAGCTATCAATATCCAATCAACGTGATTTTTTACAGGCATATAGTATTCGACGAGTTCTACACATTGAACAGTTCGGATTATCAAAACGGGATCCGTGGTAGACCTTCACGAACCCAACAATACAATCTAATTCGATCTTGAACTAGACCAAAGTCGCTGACTTTTTCATTCTATGTCTCTTATTGTTTCTTAAATATCTAATATAAAATGTATATGCCTCTCTATTACTTGGACAGACACGTTCACTACTTCGAAAACTATAGGGGCAACTATATTCTAATGAGATAAAAACAAATGAAAAAATACTTAATGAACCAAATGTGTATGGTTTGAATGATTTAAATGTATTAAAACGACGTCATTTTATTTTCAAAACGATAACGTTTTAAAACATTCGAGCTATATAAATTTGGGGTAACCAAACATTACCCAAAAAAATTTACAAAAACATAAAAAGATATAAGTTATACCTCACAATTTTTAATTGGCACCTTACTATTGTACTCTATGTATTTTTGGAGAAATTACACTTACACCCTCTGAGGTTTAAGTTTAATACATATCACTCCCTAACATTTGAAAAATTACCCTAATCCCCCTGTCATTGTAATTATTTAGACGGAATAAAAACATTGAACTTATACACTCTCTTTTTTTTCTTTGTTTTACTTTACTTTCTCTTCTTTTTTTTTCCTTTTTCCTTTACTTTTTTTAAAATATAATTTCTTCTGTTTTTCTATTAGGAGTTATTACTTTTTATATAAGCAGGAGAATTTATGAAATAAAACTATTAACTATAAAAGTGAGAATGTAATTTTTAAAACGTCAAAGAATAAATAATAATTGAACCAAATCTCAAAAGGGTCAATGTAATTTACTCTATATTTTTTTGTAATTTTTTTCTACCTGCCCTGGACTCTAATTCTACCCAAAATTATAATCAATCCAGTTCTCTTCCTTCTGATCTCTCCCCACACACACACACTCACTCATCTCTCACACGACGACCCTCTCTGCACCAACTTTCTCTCTCTAAAACTCACCTCCCATGGCAACTCTAGACCCAACCCTCAACTTCTGGGGAGTCCTCTTCGAATCCAAACAAATCATCAAAGCCCACTCTCGCCACTTCCTCGCCCTCACCGTCATCTTCCTCTTCCCCCTCTCTTTCTCTCTCATCATCTACCCAACTTTCCAAACCACTCTCTCTTCCCAACCCAAACACATCCGAATCCTCCTCTCCCACCCAACCCAAATCTCCAATTACTCTCACCAAACCCTAGCTCTCCCCCTCATCTTCACCCTCTACGTCTCCATCTTCTCTCTCTGCGCAATTGGCACAATCACCTACAGCACCTACCACGGCTTCTACGGTAGACCCGTCAAACTCGCCTCCGCCATCAAATCCCTCTTCTACTCCTTCATCCCGCTCGCCATCACAACAATCTTCTCCCAAATCGTGGTCTTTATAATTTGCGCCTCTTTCGCGGTTTTGGTGCCCCAACTGGCTGAGATTCTAGGGTTTGATGTTGATTACAATTCGAATTATTTTCTGGGTTTTTGTGTTGTGGTTTCAGTGATTTTGTTATTGTTGTTAGTTCGTCTGCAAGTGAATTGGGCATTGGCGTGTGTGATTGTGGTGGTGGAATCGAAATGGGGGTTCGAGCCGTTGCGGCGGAGCACGTATTTGATGAAGGGGATGAGACCGGTTTCGTTGTATTTGATACTGTTTTTTGGGGCTGTGATTGGGGTTTCTGTGTGGATTTGCTCGGGGTCTTTCTCGGGCAGTTTCAGTGATGTATGGAAATGCTTGTCTTTTGTTCTTCAGACGGTGTTGGGTTCGAGCATTGTGGCTATGTTTTTGCTTCAGAATTTGGCTTCTAATACTGTGTTGTATATGTACTGTAAGGCTTTGCGTGGTGAACTGGCTGGGGCGATTGCTGAGGAGTTTGCTGGCGAGTATGTTACTTTGCCTTTTGATGATGCCAAGGTTCCTCATGTTGTCTTTGTTGCCCAAGCTTAATGAGTTTGGGGTTAGTGGCTTGTTACGTCTTTGATGGCTGTTGTATGTTTTATGTAATGTAGCTTCTTGGTCGTAAAGGTATGCTGAATGTGTGAAATATATAGTAGAATTATGGATGTCATGAATGCCTCGTCAATTCTAAGTTGATTAAAGCTTTGACAATGCTTATGAATAATATGGGTTAACTTGCTAATTTGGTTTTTTTTTTTTTATTATTATTATTATTTTTAAACTTATATTCATTGCCGCAACATTCACCGAATTTTGCTCGAATTGTGCGAACAAGATATTCATTTGGATAATTCAGACACGACAAAATTCGGTGAATCAAACATTATTCTATTCGTTTTTAGTGAATAAATGTCTAATCCTATACCTAGTGTATTAAAATTTTTGAAAAAAAAAATTGAGTTATACTAGATGTCTATCTATGGTCATGGCTTTTCTCCGGTCTTTCATCAGAGAAAGTATTGTTAGGCCTTTTGAGTCTCATTTTGATAATTTAAATCGTTTATATTTTAAGGTTCATCGAGGATATTATCTTTGTAAAAAATCAAGTCAATCAGATAATAACAACTATGTGTTTGAATCAGTTTTGTATGGGAAAAAAATGAACAATGAGAAAATAAATAATTCATACAAAATTGATTCGAACATGTGATTTTTTTTATCCGATTAACTTAATTTTTTGTAGGAATAATATATTCAACGAATCTTAAAATGTAGACAGTTTAAATTACCGAAACCGAATTCAAAATTGGGCCCATTAGGCCGCACTGGAGACAATCCAATCCCTCTCTCTCTATATATATACTATTATAACTCCAAAACGCAGTCATCTTATTAAGGTTGAGAGTGGCAATTCTCTTTTCTCATCTTTTTTATTTTGTTTAATTTTTGTTAATATGTGTTACAATATGGTTGGTTTATAAATTAATTATATATTCTTAAAATAAAATTTTAAATTTAGTTATTCCTTAAATTATGTTATTATAATTGGAATAAAATCATTATTCATTCTTTATGCATCCTTTATTAAATTATAATATAAAATAAAATTTTTAATTTAAATTCTACTTTAACTTATGTTATTACAATTAGAATGAGATGAATATTTGTATGTGTTATAATGATATGTTATAATATTATTAGTCTAAACATAATATGTTATTAAATAAATGTAAATTATAAGGGCTTGAACAATAAATTTTTGTAATACAAATATATATATATATATATATATTTATATATTTTTTTTTTTTGACAAAAACAAAAATGTTAAGAAAATGAATGATTTTTTTAACACTTGTCAAACACGGTGGATTTTGTTTTTTTGTTTTTTATTTTTTTTTAATCTCAATTGTTAATTAAACAAATTAAAATAAAAAAATAAATTTTTTTGCTTAGTAACTTTTACTAAAATCAAATAGAAATAAACGTTATTTTTTTTTTACCAAAAGTGATGGTTAGTGAAATTTATTTTTTTATATAATAAAAAAAATGAGATCTATACGTGATAATTTATTATTTCAATAATGCTACAGAGTCACACTTTCATCTACAATGATGTGATAAGGGAGTTGGGCCTCATAACAAATCAAGAGTTGATACATGTGATACCACATTATTGTGGGTACAATTGTGAGTGTTTTTTTTGTGAGTTTCAAACATTTTTCTTATTGTTCATCTAGACCTTTTTAACACTTGTGAAACATGGTGGATCCTATTAATTTTTTTTTAATCTCAATTGTCAATTAAACAAATGAAAAAAATTTGCTCAAATTTCTAGAACGTGGCTTTTGCTAAAACAAATAGAAATAATTTTTTTTTTATTTATTAAAAGTGATGGTTCGTGAAACATTTTTTTTATTAAAAAAATGAAGGTTATAAGTAATAATTTATTAGTCATCTAGAATCATTTTTAGATCAAATGAGAATACCATTCTAGATTTTTTTTTTTATCCATATATTTTTATTTTGTAAGAAATTTAATTTTATCATATTTAAATTATTTTATGCCATTCTAAAATGTATTTTTTTTAATATTAACTTATTCAACGATCTTTTTCTAAAATGTATATTTCTTAAACATAATATAAAAAAAAATTCTATTGAAAAAACTTAAACATATTGCTTTTGCTTTTGTTCATTAATATTAAAATTTTTAATTAATTTTATGTATTATTTAAAAAAATAGCAAATAATTTTATATATTTATATATATTTTTTTGTTTTAATTGCTCTGGTTATTTGGTATCTCTGTCCAAGGCCACTCAAATTTATTCAAATTTTTAAATTTTACATAGGTTCTCACCGAATTAAAAATTATGTTGCTGATTAAAGCCAAATTTTGTAACACTAAGGCCGTTAATTGGGATCTCTTAACTTTACTTGTTTGTTAAACTATATATTTTATTTCTGTTTAATATCAATCAGGTTGTACATAGTGGGAGCATAAAATAAGCAAAAATGCAGGACTTGTAGAGAAAAGTGCTTCCCGCACATGCGTTGACTTTTCCCACACGTGTGGCAGCACCTTAGAAATCGTGCGTTGAACTCGCCAGAATTACAACTTTAGCAAGGGAGTTGAAAGTTACATGATTAAAATTGTAACAAATTAAAAATTGATATATAAATTGTGATACAATTGTGAAATTTAAATTGTAGGTTTCGATATTTTTTTTTTCTTCACAATTTACATACAAAAATCTAACTAGTTATATTATTTTATATAAAAATAGTTTATTAATTTTTTCACATCCAGTGCATAGCACATGTTTTTATTAATATTAACTAACAGGCATTATATACTTAGCAAGTTGGATATGCTCTAACGTGGTAAAAAAATAAGTACTCAGGTCATATGCCTATTTTTTAAACTGTGAGCCAATAGGTCCAAATTTAAATATTTGTAGGTCAAAAGGATATTGATATGTCTAAAATGACTCTAATCTGTCCAAAACTTACCTATTTATCCACCTATCAATCAAAATATCATGCATCTGTTTAATATCATCCATTTGTCTATCTCGCCATCACAAGTCGCCGTCGACAACATCTTTTTCAACCAATTTTGTGGTGACTTTTCTAATGGGGGTAATTTTTTCTAATAACTTTTCAATGCATATCCTTATTAGTAAAAAAAATTAAACATTGAATCAAATAACATATGGTGCCATAGGTTTGGTTTTTTGAAAGGTTCCCCACTACAGATTCACTTTCTGATTTTATCATGTTTGTCTCAAAATAAATAAATAAGTAAATAGATGGTTGATTTTTTAAAAAATATTCATCGTTTTTATTTTTCAAAGACAAATGCGATACAATAGTTGTAGCTAAAAAAGGTAACTTTTGACAAAGAAAATTCCAAAAATCAAAAAGCCAAGTTTCCATTAATTAAAAAATCCAGCTCACATCAAAATTTTTCAATCACAAATTAATTTTTTCTTTTAAAAACTTTCCAAATTCATTTTTTAAACAACTTTCCAAATCCAATTAGGGCTTGGATTTAAGCTGACCATCTAATTTAAAAGAGCATTTAAAGCTTGATGGATTCAATTTTGGGAATCGAACTCTATGATTTAAACCGTTGGTTCACTTTTTAGAATTTGTTAAATGAAATATTCATAAAAAAAAATTAAAATTATTAAATATCAATAACTATACATTTAAATTATATTTGTATTACAAAAAAAATGAAGTGTTCAATCATATTAGATCACTAAGGTTGGGGTGGAGGGGGACAAAAAAAAATTTGAGATGCTTTTGAGAGGGATTTTTTTTTTAATTTAATTTTTTTTTTAATCTCCTGAGAGATTTACTCTAGTCAATTTTCAAAAATTCATAAATTATACACTAAATTTACTCATGTTGTAAGAGGGAGACTCCACACAATTAACTATGTGATAATTCAAAAATAAATATTTCATACAACTCAAAATATTAGTTCTTTATTTTGTTTTTCATTATTTCAAAAAAAAATTCTTTTTCAAAAATTAAGAACTAAAATAATATTAATTTCTTATTTTATCCTTCTTTTAAATTTATTAACAACACAAAAAGTACAATTATGGCAATTGATATTTATAAAAAAAATATACTACCAAAAGGTAATTTTAAAAAATTAATATTTTTAAAGTGTAATAATTATATTATCAAAAAAAAAATTGAATTTTCTAAAAGAAATTATTATTTTAAGACGGAAAAAGTATGTATTATGCCATATTATTATGAGTGGTGCTATTAGTACCCCGTGAATTATTTTGGACTCCCACTTATAAATTTTGAAACTCTCAAAATTTCTTTTTCCTCCCTAGATAATACCAAAACTATCTTTGAAAAAATATTTCACCCATTGAATGCACACCCAACACACCCAAAAAAACTCATCTTCCAAAAAACTCTAACAAAACCCACCAAGAAGAAAAAGAAGAGCCAATGTGATTACTATCTCTACTGTCTCATTCATCATTGTCACAGTTGATATGCTCTCTTTATCTTTATATATACATAATTTATTAGTTTTCTCGTAATAATTTATTCCCTTATAGGAAAAAAATTATAATAATTGGTTTTGTTAGTTTTGTTGGTAGATATTATAAAATTATGAGTTCAACAGAGAACTACGCATTAATATTATCAAAGTTACGCGATAAAGGAATAACTTTTGAACCCGATAGTAGATTTGGGCTATTTCCAATAACTTCTGCAAGTGTTAAAAATTTTGATTATTCAATGTGTTAAGAAATTTCCATGGTCTGACCTGCATTCCTTAACATTACTTATTTATTCAAGAATGTCTTTCCAAACAAATAAGTAATGTTCGGACCTGTATTCTCGAACTTGAGAAAATGAAAATTTCTACAAGCGTTGATAATTTTGACTGTTCAATGTGTTAAGAAATTTTCATATTCGAACCTACATTCTCGAACATTACTTATTTGTTTGGGAATACCTTCCCGAACAAATAAGTAATATTCAGGCTTGTATTCCCGAACTTGAAAAAATAAAAACTTCTGCAACCGTTAACAATTTTGACCGTTCAATATGTTAAGAAATTTCTATGTTCGGACTTATATTTCTTGAACATTACTTATTTGTTCGGGAAACGCCATCCTAAACAAATACATAATGTTTGGGCCTGTATTCTGCTAAAGGGTTGCCATTGTTACTGTTGAAATATTGTCATTGCTGGAGAAGTGTAGGTAGTCAAATGGTTGTCACTGTTATTGCCGGAATATTTCCATAAAACGATTTTCAAAGTTTTGAGGATAGGTAAGTTTTGAAGATAAGATTTGAGAAAGATAGATGTGTGATAATGGAGGTGAGTACTCTTATAAACCCTAATTCATGATATAGTGGGTATATAAATTAAGGGTCTGGCTTTGGTCCAGTCCACCACCGGACTGGACCGTGTTGTTGGGCCCATGGGGGCCCACCACGTGTCCCGTTTTGAAAATCTGAACCGTTCAATGTGTAGAAATCGTCAAGTACTATATGCTTGTGAAAAATCACATTGATCGAATATCGATAGCTATGTGATCAAAACAGTTTTTTATCAACCGTTAATTTATTCACCATCCATTTTTTTATACAAAACTGATTTGATCACATAGCTATCGATATCCGATCAACGTGATTTTTCAAAGACATATAGTACTCGACGAATTGTACACATTCAACGGTTCAGATTTTTAAAACGGGACCCGTGGTGAACCCCCACGGGCCCAACAGTACAATCTAGTCCGATGACGGACTGGACCAAAGCCAGACCCATAAATTAAATTGTAAAATGTGATGTTCTTAAAATTAATGATGTTTTTTTTAATAATTTTATCTAAAATTATTACTGTCATAAAAAAAGGTCAAAAATTAAAAATTTAAAATAATTTATGAAGTCATAATAACCGCCCGCACTATTATACATCAAATTGTGAAAAAAAAATTGTGAATCATAAACATTTTCCCTTTTATTCGTTAAAAAAAGCGATCAAAAACACATTTCACTCTCGAAGTGCCTTGACGACCACCCCTTCGAAAATTATAACCAATCGAGTTCTCTTTCTTCTCATCTCATCTCTGCACACTCATCTTCGTCATCTTTCTCTCTCACACGACCCTCTCTGCAACAACTTTCTCTCTCTATAGCTCACCTCGCATGGCAACTCTAGCCCCAACCCCCAATTTCTGGGGAATCCTCTACGAATCCAAACGAATCATCAAAGCCCACTCTCGCCACTTCCTCGCTCTCACCGTCCTCTTCCTCCTCCCCCTCTCTTTCTCTATCCTCATCTACCCAACTTTCCAGACCACTCTCTCTCAATCCCAATCCAAACACATCCTTTTCCTCCTCTCCTACATCACCCCCACCTCCTCCGATTACTCTCTCCAAACCCTAGCTCTCCCCCTCATCTTCGTCCTCTTCGTCTCCCTTTTCTCTCTCTGCGCTATTGGCACAATCACCTACAGCACCTACCACGGCTTCTACGGTAGGCCCGTCAAACTCGCCTCCTCCATCAAATCCCTCTTCCACTCCTTCATCCCGCTCGCCATCACAACAATCGTCTTCGAAATCGTTGTGGTTCTGATTTTTGCCCTTTTTGGGATTTTCGCGGTTTTGGCCGTCAAAGGGTTTGAGATTCTAGGGTTTGTGGTTGATTACAATTCGAACTATTTTCTAGGGTTTTGTATTGTGATTGTGATGATTTTTGTATTGGTGTGTGTTCGTCTGCAAGTGAATTGGCTATTGGCGTGTGTGATTGTGGTGGTGGAATCGAAATGGGGGCTGGAGCCGTTGCGGCGGAGCTCGTATTTGACGAAGGGGATGAGACCGGTTTCATTGTCTTTGACATTGTTTTTCGCGGCTGCGATTGGGTTTTTTCTGTGGGGATGCTCGGGAACTTTCTCGGGCAGTTTCAGTGATGTGTGGAAGTGCTTGTCTTTTGTTCTTCAGACCGTGTTGGGTTCGAGCATTATAGCTATGTTTATGCTTCAAAAATTGGCCTCCACTACTGTGTTGTATATGTACTGCAAGGCCTTGCGTGGGGAATTGGCTGGGGAGATTGCTGAGGAGTTCGCTTGCGAGTATGTTAGTTTGCCTTTCGATGATGCAAAGGTTCCTCATGTTGTCTTTGTTGTCCAAACTTAATGAGTCTGAGCTTAGTGGCTTGTCATGTGACTAAAATCTTAGTTATGAATCTCATTTATGCTGTGTGTGGTTGTGGTTGTGGTTGTGGTTGTGGTTGGGAGATTTGAAAAAGGATTTAGAAAGGGAAATGGGAAAAGAAGGTGGAATATGAATAAAATATATTTATTCATATCGCATAGTTTCACCCATCTTTTTCTTTTCTTTTTTCAAATCTCTCCCTAAATTCTCTAACCAAACACAGTATTAATGTTGATGTTTATGTAATGTAATTTGTTGTAAAAACCAATTTGTGATGAATATGTGAAATGCAGTATTTGTGGATGTCATGAATGCCTTGTCAATTTGAAGTTGGTTAAAGCTTCTTGACACAATGCTTATGAATAATATGGGTTAACTTAAGTTCGTTCTGTATCTGTATGCTAGAGAAATGAGATGATTGTGTTGTCTTACTACTATATAGCACTAACTTCTCTAAATTCCGTATCTTTGGAGAATAGGCTTACTCAATTCTCTGAATGGATATCATCTATATCCCCCCAAATAAATGGTGTGAGAAAAGTGAAATGCCTTCTATATGCGAACCTCTCTTAGCGAGAACTGTTCTGTTTCTAGAGGTCTATATTTTGACGGTACCAGGTTAATTACCATCAATATTGTGCTTTGCAATAGACAATGTAAACCATGACTACAGGTATTTATCTCAAAGAATTATTCTATATATTTCTATTGATTTAATAACCTTGATGATAGCCTACATCTCTTTCCCAAAAAAAATCTCTCATCTTTACCATAACAGACTGACGTTTCATTACAAGGACATCAGAGTCCCTTTTTTTTTTTTTTTTGTCCTTAATTTTGGACCAATTTTATTTCCTCAAGGTGGTTTTCAACTTATTTTCCCAAAACCCAGATGGTTTCTTGAAGTCATGTTTTGGATTTGAAGTTGTGCTTTCAAAAACGATTTCATTGAGTTTTATAATTAGTTAATTGAAGTTGTATTTTGAAAGCTCATGTTTTGAACAAAACCAAAACACCCCCTTAGATTTGAGAAAATAAGTTATTAAAGTAAATGTTTTTAGAAAATAAGATGCCAAACCACTCAAGTTTGTTAAAAAAAGACATGTATTTTGATGACAAGACGATGAATGTTATAGAGATGATTGGCATTTTCGTTGGAAAAGCAGTTTTCAACTGGTATTACCAAAACCAAACTAATACCACCAAAGTTACCTGTTTTTTAATCTTAAATTTGTGAAAGAAAAAAATAAAGAAAATATATATAAATAATTGAAGAAGCTTTTTATTCTTTTTTTCTTTTTTCAATTTTCTTTTCCTTTTTTCCCTCCCTCTACAAACCCAATATCCTAAGTATTTCCACACCCAAACATAAAATAAAATTAAAGATGAAAACAAGTAAAGGTAATGGACAGATTAAACATTGCAAAAGCCTATTGCTTTCTACACTAACAAAGGTTGATTGATAGTTACAAAATTACACTTAGGAAGAATAATTGTCAGAAGCACAGATCCTGAAGAGAACAATTACAAAGACATCTCCGTAGGACTCTTCAGAAAAGATAAACACTTCCAATGAAACCTGCACTGAGAGGACAATGAAGATTGCTTAATGAGAAGCTGAACAGAGGCTGCAATCAAACGCTCAAACCCAAAAGCACAAAATCATGATGTTTTCATTAAACTTCACAGCCCTTCTTCAAGCAACCTTGATTCGACATCTCAAAGACAATAGCCAACGAATCAGACCACCGATACCTCCTGAAACAACCTTGGCCAACAAATGAAAAAATCTTAAAGAACCTACCTCTACCCCCCCCATGATGGAATCAACGCAATCCAAATTTCATAAATCTTTAGTTGTTTCAAATATTTCTATTGTTAGAGGAAGCTGGCGCCTTCAATCTAACCACGTTTGCGTCCCAGTCAGAGCTGAAGAGAAGGTTACTCCAATCCGTTGACCTCTGCACAGCCCGTGAAGGAACACGGTCACTATCTTCCCCACCAGACGCTTCATAACCATCGCTAGTTGACCTTGACAGTGGGATTGCCTTCTGAGCAGTTGATAGACCTGTGAGCCGCCGTGCCTCTTCTGGGCCTGATGGGGTGGCCCGGAATGGGTGGCGGAGATCAGGGGAATCCAAACTGCTCTCTGGAGAGGAACCAACAATGGCCATTGAGCCCGACATAGCCAGACTTGTTCGGAAAGCGCTCCGGGCTTCAAGCTGTAGTGGAGCCAAACTTGTTGATGTCTCAGGGATGAGATCATTTTTAGCTGAAACATTTGTTAGGTCTGCTGGGAGGCGAATTCGCTTACTAGGGCGCCTCCGACTATTGTTGTCAGGCTTTGGGACCATTCGTCGGCTGCTGCTACTGCCAAAGCTGCCATTTGTTTCGAGACCAAATGGGGTTTCGCTTCTCACCACAGGTTGCAAGATTTTGGACTTTTTCCTTGCCTCTGCAGCAGCTTTTGAAACCTGTTCTGCGTTTAAGCGTGCTAGAGTCCACGGACTGATCTTTACAGCTGTAGGGTTCTTTTTCTTGATTGGCTCCTCAGTCACCGTCTTTTTGCCTAATGAACTAACCGATCCAGAATCTGGAGGAATCACATCAAACTGAAACAAAACCAGAAATTGCAGCAACATCATCAATATCAAAAGCAGCGGTTCTAGTTTCACACACTGCTATCATGTCAACAAAAAAATTATGTTTTCTGTGTGTGTGTGTGTGAGAGAGAGAGCGAGAGAGAGAGATGTCTATGCTCATCTCTTACTCTTTTCTTTGGTAACATGATAATAGTTTCTTTGCAGTTTGTAAAAGGCTTACGAATTTGAAGGAAGCACACACAAACTCAATGCCCCCTATTATTTAATCTTCTAGACATTGAGAAAAGAAAATGACATGCATGACTATGCAAATTTTCTCTGATTTTTCACTTAAATAGGAAGGAAAGAAATTTATTTCAATTTGAAATTTTCAATTCCAAGAAAGTCTTTCTTTCAACTAGTGAAATTAGATTTCTATTGCCATTATGGGTCATATTAGCAATTGGCATACGAAACTTTAACAGAATTCAATGAGGATCTAAATTAAAAACATCAGATTAATACATGGTTCTTAACACTTTAAGACCATAAATGTTGCCAAATTTAGACAACAGTTATATCAGTCCCAACCAGGAAAGCATCAACTTGGTTTAATGATTTTAACAAACTCACAGAATCTGTTTCAAGAAGGAAGGTTGCATGTCCGTGTCTGACACATATTGGACACAGAAACTTGTCAGAGTCTCATAAACAAAAAATAGTCGTCACAATCAGAGACATCTAAGAAGTGATGACCACCACTGTCTGTAGTATCGAAATCTAAGTTAGTGCAAGAACTGCCTCTGCCATACCTGATCTTCAAGAAACAGCCGTGGAGGAGTACACCATGCGCCTCGGTGGAAAGCATTGACGGAACTTGCACTGCTCAACCCAGTGAGGGAGCTGACAGGCGACATTTGGGGACTTTGCTGGCCTCCAATTCCTTGCTCTTGCTCTCTCAAAGCTATGATGTAATCATATGTGCTAATCCCCTGCAACACATACATTCAAGTAATTGGCCAATCAATATATTATTATTTTTATTTTGGAGATGATTTACATCTTGACTCAAGAACAATTAAAAACTGTACAAAAGGTAAAAAGAACACTGGGTTTTATAAAATTTTGGGAAAAAAGGGTAAAAAAATTCTTGTAATCCCTTTTTTCTCTTAAATGTTATCACTCTTTTTTTTTTCATTCAAAAAAATAAAATAAAAAAGAAAACAAGAACATAAAGGAAGTATTCACACAAGATTGAAAGTACAAGATGTTGTCCTGGTTACCTTTTTTATGAGAAGAACGTGAAAGAAAAAAAGCTGAGCTAGCGGTAGCGTGGCAATCATAGCCAAGATGGTGCACATTGCCTATCAAATGTAGAGTTACACTTTGTTATTAGCTAGCGGTAGCGTGGCAATCATAGCCAAGATGGTGCACATTGCCTATCAAATGTAGAGTTACACTTTGTTATTCGCAAATAGGAAGACAGCAAAATAAAGGAAGTATTCACACAAGATTGAAAGTACAAGATGTTGTCCTGGTTACCTTCTTTATGAGAAGAACGTGAAAGAAAAAAAGCTGAGCTAGCGGTAGCGTGGCAATCATAGCCAAGATGGTGCACATTGCCTATCAAATGTAGAGTTACACTTTGTTATTCACAATTAGGAAGACAGCAAAATTAAGTGAAATGGCTTTATTGATTAGTCAACAAATCCTTGCTATTTGCCAAATATATATATATATATGGTTGATCAGTATAAGCAAAGCGAAAAGTTAAATTGAAATAATAGCTGAAGCATCTTAATATAGAAGGCCAAGGAAAAGAACAAAATGCTCACCACCACGATAGTAAAGGGCACCAAAGTGAAACTGCTTCCCAACTTGGAGGCAATGTCTACAGAGTACCTCTTGCGCTCAAGAAAACAGCAGATTATCACAAGGATTCCAGTTGACCATTGAAGTACAAGCTGCAATCTCAAGTCCAAGGCACACCAAACATGTATATACACATCAATAATCAATTAAAATGAAAAATATCATGAAAATAAAAATGGTTACTTTATGATGGTCTCCAGGTTCTGGCATGTCGCTTGTCGGAAGCAAATTCAGGACTTAAAATTATTAGACATGGGATACTCGAAGAGTTATGGAAGCTAATCATGAACCTATCGTGAGGGCAAAATCAAGCAGTAGGAAAGACAATGTACCTTAGTAATGACAATAAGAATAGGAATACTCAGAATCAGAAAGCAAGCATGTTACGGAAAATGAGAAATATATCATCATCCTCAAGTAATAATATTGTGGTAGAACGCCAAAAAAACAGTTTGGTCTTATTAACAGTATCAACATGTAATTTTGCAAGTTACAGAAGCCCACTCATAGATAGACATTGAGAAGTCTGCACAGTATTCAGAATTCTAAATAGAGATCAGAAAACAGATCAGAATGGAGTTTTCACAAACAGTAAAGAGAGTTGGGCTCTTTTTGGAGACAAGAATGGAGACATATGCTCACCAAGAGAAGGGAAGAGACCATGAGGGTGAAAAACTGCCGGTAGTTCCTTTTGCCTATACAATTGTTGAGCCACTACAAAATCCGAGAAGAAAAACACATAAGAGTTATGTCTCAAATAAAAATAAAAATAAAAAGAGGAAAAATCCTAGCAAGTGAATGACAGAAATACCCTGCAGTGATGATCAAAACGGTCAACACATTTGTCACAAACTCTACAATGCTTGCTGTACTTGAAAACCTACAAGAGACACAGTTTGCAATTAGGGCAAACAAAATATTTTGACAACAAGAAGGCCTCTAAAAATCAAACATATATGTCAGATACATCTACACACCTCTACTTCACACAAACTACAGTAAAACATGCCATCTTCACTCAGTTGCTGTTCACAAGATTCTTCATGTTGATTTGAGCAGATGCAAAGAGAAGCACAAGGAATGAAAGCCATCAGAGCCGTAAAACAAAATGAATGGCAAGGCGATGCATTCTTATTCTCAATTTCAGCAGTGTAATCTTCTCCTGCTGTATCCGTATCCTTCACACCTTTATCCAGAGGTTTGCCCCCAATTGTTGCAGCATTTGCGTCCTGTATTGACGAAGTTGATTCCCCGCCCAATTTAGATTCCTTGAATCTCACGTGATTTTTGCTGTCTGGAATCTTAAGATATTTTTTAGACTTGAAGACCCCTGGGTCAGCAGGATCAGCTGCCGCACACCAAATATATAGGCTGAAGGCACATGTAATCTGCAAAAAGCGTAAGCAGAGATTCATAAAGAGGAAATGATGCATTCAAATTGGAGAAAATTCAATATAGGGGGACTGTATGAGCAGTGAGTTTCTAGTGATCAAACTTCAAGTTACTAGTGAATAATTATAAAAGCAGAACTACCTCTACCCATGCATATAACAGGATGTGGATAATTTACAATCCCCGAAGTCCAAGGAAATTAAAAAATAAGGTATCTATTCCTCTTATTTCACTAAAAGGAGGGAGGCGGAGGAAGAAAGAACAAAAGTATTGCGCTTGTTGGTATAGCCATTTGGCAATAGAAATATTATTCCACCAAATTGATCACAGAGAAAAGGTACACTCAAAAGATAGTACATGTGCAAAAGATGATAGTGAGTGGTTAATCACCCTTATTTTCCAAAAAACAATACACTAGAAATTTCCTTATTTACAAAGGCAGATACAAAATGTAGTAGAGAGGCGCATATATGGGGTACATTGATTAAAGTAACTGATAGTAACTACAAATTATCAGAGCTACCAGCAATAAACATAAACAGGTTGAGCACCATGTCTGTCTACTACCATCCAAAGTACATGAGCTAATAAGCAAAAAACAAGCAGTATGACAAACTCAACATATTAGAACATTAATTCCACAATATTTGGTATATGGAAGTTACTATAGAAATAAGAAGATAATTGCAGTAGGAATATTAGTGTAGATACATGGGCCCACTTGCCTAGGTGGCTAAGCCACATCATCTCAACACCATCACCATGTCATCTCCATATGACTTGGCCTCATGTGTCAACCTCGTGAGGTGACAACTAGACCAATGATATCTCACCATGTGTTTGTTCTCCATCAATGATAGAGATAAACTCTTTTATGTTTGTGATGTGCCTCCGTTGGACCCTCAACACTTATATAGAATATGTGTCCGTTGGAAATTAAATCAGATTTGACTCAATCCATAACCCATAGAGCATCCACACGGGTTATTTATTTGACAGGCCCATGTATTTGAATGAAGGGATCTTATCTACTGAAGATAAGGTTGTTGTAGATAGCTACACCGCATCCCTTATCCATAGGAGACTATCTCTATATACAGATAGAGCATACATTGTATACAACAATGATGAAAAAAAAACCTAAAGAAAATTCCATTGTTCCTCTTCCTGTTCAATCTCTATAAGGATACCATCACCAGAGTCTAGGAACTTCGAGTGTGAAATTCATGGGGTAACTCTAGATGCCAATCCGTTGACTTGGTATCATTACATGGATTCTTAGTTCATGGTCGTTCGTAGAGGTTTGTAATTCAAGCAATGATTCGGGATTGTGGGTAAACTACTTCCACTTGAGGTATGTTGAATAGTCGTATTTTGTTTACGGTGTCCAACATGTCTAGTTGGACATGAACCATTAGTAGGCCTAATAGGTAATAGTCAATTTACTAATAACTATGCATAAGGCTCTACATCATATGTAAAAATGCTAATGCTAGTTTCAAAACATCTTACCCTAAAAAATAAAAGACGTATTTAAGAAATATATATTTGCGTGCCCTTGGACATGAAAATTAAATAAATAGACACCAACACAAATACCCACACCAACACACATACCAGAGTTCATGTAAAAAACAACAACAATATTCAAGCAATGGTTGGGCTGAATTGAGATATCCCAGTAAAAATTATATTATTCATTCCTCTGTAATGGGTTTTTAAAAATGTTCAAAGAGGTTACAAAACATTCCAATGTCTCAAAACATTGTGTGACGGAATAGGATTCAACATTCAAATCCTACAAGTAGAATAAAAATTTATACCCATATCAAAACAGGGAACAAACTCCAATCTTTCAATAGATCAAAGTCTCTGAAATTTGTGGCTATTAAGTTGTGCAACAAAAGGGCAGATTCATGATATAGTTGAAAGAATCTCTAGATATAATTTATCCAGAGAAACAGAAAGAAGAGAACCCATTTTGACAGAGGGAAAAAAAAATGTGAGGGATAGAAATAAACTCAAAAATTAGAAACCAACAGACAGAGAAAACACAGATCTCAGAACTTTCCAGCTAAACAAATAGAACAATCATATAAAAATAAATAAATAAATAAATAGAATAATAATGTAAAATGCTTACAAGAGGAGTGTAGAGCCCGATTGCAATATACTGCAACAAATTGTTCCCAACAAAAGGAGCAAAAAATACATAGAAAGCAAACCCCAATGCCAGAAACACAGCAACTGCTACCACCTGCAGATATACACATATTCACACTCAATATACATTATATATATATATATATATAAGAGAGAGGGAGAGAGAGAGAGAGAGAGAGAGAGAGACCTGGAGGGGATGGTAAGGAAGCTGCCATCCATGTTTCTTCATTTTCTGATAAACTTTGCAGGAATCACTTGGTTTAGTGTCTTCTTTTTTTTGTTTTCTTTTGGGTTTCTTTATCTGCTTTGATTTGTTTTATTTTCTCTTGCTTTCCCGCATTTCAGGGAAACATTTGGGATTCACCACTGATTCACTGTAGAAGCAAGCCAAACAAAAGAAATTGATTGCCCATTTTCCATGAGTCTTGTCATTGAGCAAAATGGAGGAACATTGAGCAAAAATGGAGGAAACTATTAAAAAAAAAAAAAGGGGGAGAGAAAGATATGAGTGGTAGTGGGTTGTGGGGAAGGAGGGATGCGATGCAAGGTAGAAAGCTTGGTCTGTTTCACTCAATCATAACCCACCCAACTCATGGAAGAAGGTGATGAGAGAGAGAGAGAAAAAGAGATGGGATTTGGGTTGAGATTTGATTGGGTATTTCTTCTTTTTTCAAAAGCCTTTTTTTTACAGGTGAAGAAAAATCCGTGACTCTGTGTGTGTGTGTGTGTGTGTGAGAGAGAGAGAGAGAGAGAGAGAGAGAGGTGACTGTACTGGTTTTCTTTCCAAAACTTCATAATTGCCTTGCTACCCAACGTCCCAACCTTTCACTTTTCTTTTTCTTTTTCTTTTTTGGTAAATTACATTCTCAATAATAAGTAATTGTAGCATAGTCATAACTTTGAGAAAATTAAATGAGAAGATAATTAAAAAAAATTACTAAATATACAAACATGAAGAGATGCAAGTTCCACACCTATAATTAGGGCTATGTAAAATATCGCACAATTTGTTAAAACCGCACCGATCCGTATTTATCTGCACTGCTCTAACCGCTAACCGCTGTTTAAACTTTAAAATTTATAATCCGCTAATCGAACCGTTCCGTTCCGCTATAGTTAATACATATATATTTTTTAATCTCCAATGAAATATTAATGTAAAAATGAGTGTGAGAAAGATTTATGACATGAAATTTATTACAAATTGGTGGCTATATATGAAACATATTATGTAAAATTACTTTATGTAATATATCTAAAAAATATTATACAAATTAGTGTTATATATTATACAAATGTATGATAATTAGTTAGAATATTCTTCAATCCGCCAATCCGCCAAAAACTGCCTAAACTGCAATTTGTCAATCCCCTAATCTGCCAACCCGCCATTCAATTTGTAAATTTACTCTCAAACCGTCAGACCCACACCGCGCAGACCCCTACCCACAACTTTTACGTTGCTTTCTGTCTCAAAAAGAGTTGCACTTCCCAAGTTTTTCTATATTTTTTTTTAATCTTACATTTTAATTTATTACTTCTCCAAATACAATTAACCTTCATATAATAACAATTTCAATAATGTTAATGAGATGAAATTACTATATTATCTTTAAATATTTTGTTAACGGTGAGAAAGGAGTTAGGGTATTCATAAATGGTAGACGGAAAGTGATTAAAAAAAATATGATGGAGAGAGTGACAAGGAGAAAATAACATTGTATATAATGAGTGCACCACACTAGTACACCCCTTCTCTTTCTCTCAAACATGTAAGAATCAGGCCGGCCCTGCCCTAAGGCAGGTAAGGCTTGTGCCTTAGGCCCTATATTTTAGCTCAAAAATAGGGCCCTCAAATTTAAAAAATTGTTATAGGTTCAATTTTTTTTTTTTAGTTTTAAGATCAATTTAAAGGGTCCCAAATGTTTTATTGGGCCCATGTATAATTTAGCCCATATTTATTAAAATGAAAATACATAAATAAATATATAAAAAACAATAGGGCCCCTAAATTTGGTAAAACATATAAACATATATAACATAAGACTCCTAAATTTGGCCCAAAAATAGGGCCCCTAAATTTGATAAAATATTATAGGCTCAATGTTTTTTTTTTTTTGGTTTTAGGATCAATTTAAAGGGTCCCAAAATATTTTTTTGGGTCCATATATGATTTACTCCATATTTATTTATAAGTGTAGTTTGGTCCATATTTATTAAAATGAAAATATATATTAAAAAAAAAAGTGTTTGGGTTCAAGAAAAATAATACATACAATATATGGGCCCTATTTTTTTATTTTTTATTTTTACCTTTTTTATCTATTAGATTTTAGTAGAATAAATAATTTTGCTCAAATTTTTTTACCTAGGTTTTTATCAATTTTAATTGAATAATTTTTTCCTAATTTTTTTGTTCTAATTTTATTTTATTAAATTTTTTTATTTATAATTTTAATGATTATATGTGTAAGTAAATTTTTTATGGTTACAAACAAATAAAAAAATTATAACTTATCGTTTTATTTATGAATTTTTTTTTCAATATAAAAGGGCCCCAATTTCCAAAATTCGCCTTAGACCGCGACAAACTCAGGGCCTTCCCAAGTTTTTCTATATATTTTTTTAATCTTACATTTTAATTTATTACTTCTCCAAATACAATTAACCTTCATATAATAACAATTTCAATAATGTTAATGAGATGAAATTACTATATTATCTTTAAATATTTTGTTAACGGTGAGAAAGGAGTTAGGGTATTCATAAATGGTAGACGGAAAGTGAATAAAAAAAATATGATAGAGAGAGTGACAAGAAGAAAATAACATTTGTATATAATGAGTGCACCACACTAGTACACCCCTTCTCTTTCTCTCAAACATGTAAGAATGCATCAACGTAATACACCTATGATATATAATACTTACTCATGAGACAGAATTTCAAGTGATTGAGAAAGAAACAATGGCTAAAGGTTAAAAGATTAGAGTTAGAGTTTGAAAATTTAAAAAGATAAATAATTTTATTTTTGACTTTGTGAATTATATATTGAGAGAAGATATATACTATAAAAATTTGATGCCTAAATTTTTCATAGAAGATCTCCAATGAGATTAGGGCCAACCTTTAGCTAAAATACCAATTGGTACATTGGGCAGACAACTCTGAATAATAAATGTTGTTCCCTTTGCTACCAATTCTTGCTATTATTAAATGGAGGGTAGTTGATGCCTAGAAAGATGATGAAACATGAATCTATTTCCCAAGAAATGTGGCTAAGACTCTTTACGCTAATACGGACATTGAATAGGTTGAAGCCCATTCTTTCCTAATTTTTCTTTCAACAATGATTTAGACCACTAAAAAATACATCACTAATAGTATTAATATATTGAAAATGACAAAAAAAAAATAATAAAAAAATAAAAACAAGACATAGAAAGTGGGCGGAGCCCACTGCCACATCATTAATGCTCCCTTTAGTGATCTCCTTTTAGTGCTCCCAAGTATTTTTCTTTTTCTTTTCAAGAGAGGGCATTGTTTTTTAATATCCTCCTATCTATATTGATGAAAAATGCAAAAAATAACAATTTTAATCCAATATTTCATTCAGGATAAAAAAAAGTTGACGAATCTAAAATAATAATTATAATAGGTCATAACTATTATCATAGTAGTCATAATTTACCCCACAAATAGGTCATAATCAAATACCACAAATAGCATAACTAAGGCATAAAAAATTATTGGTTGGTTCAGGAGTATCACATAGTCATGTCTTTGGCCAATCACAAATCTTGTGCCTCCTCATATTCCCTAATCTAATCACCTAACATAAATCTTGGATCCTACCCTCTCCACCAATTAGAACACATGTGGGGCACCACGTGACAGTACCCAGGATAAAACAACTTTTCCTGGGACATATGGTATGCACCTTATTTTGGAGGGTGTATTATAAAATTTTTCTAAGATTTAAATCCACTTGGCAACTAATTATTTTAGTTTACTTTTTAAATTTTTACAAAAAGACACTTAGAAAAATAGAGAGAAAAAAAAAATTAATAATGACTTTTTGACTAAAATAGGTAATTTTTAAAATATTTTTTTTATGGGTTAAAATGAAAAATGAATCACATGTTTGAGGTTATAAGTGTAATTTAATATTAAACAGCAGCAACACATGAGAGGGACATAACAGAGAAGTGGGGGTTGGAAGCAAGGGATGTATTAGTGTTGGATAGTGGTGTATTTTACTTCATCAGGTTTTCAAGGTCCCGTGAAGGAGGATTTTGTCACCTTCTTGTCACAGATGTGTGTGGCTGAAAAGTCGTAAAAATAATAATAATTAAAATAAATAAAAATTTAAAAAACAAAAGAAAAAAACAATTCACTAAATAGGTAACAAGGGGGGACAATCAGGGTACATTCAGTCTCATTTGGAAATACGTTACTTTGATAATTTTTTTATTTTTTATAAAAAGATATGTAAAAAAAATAAAAAAAGTAATATGACAACTTATAGTGACTTTTTTGATTAAAATTGAAAGTTACCAAATGAGACAATATTGCTAAAAGAGGTCAGGTGACGTTTGAATTGTCAAAATTTAAACGCACTAAATTTATCTTTAATTATTCTAAATTAATGTATTATGAAAATAAAAAAATAAAATTGAAAAAATACAAACCCGGAAAATAATAAGAAAATTATTTGAGCTGTGTTCCAAATAGTAAATGTATTACATTACAATATGACTTAATTCAAATAATAGGAAAATAATCAGTATTTTTATAATATTTTTACATTTGTTATATATAATTTGTATCAAAAATAGTATTCGAATTGCTCGGGTCAAGAGAAGCTCTGTATGAACTTTGTCTGAATTTAATTCAGGCCGACAATTAGATCAAAGCCCTTACCATATATAAAATTATATTATTCAATTCCTAAATTTTTTTTAGATTAGACTCGGATTTTCTTTTCCCAAGTTGCTCCCCCTAATGCCAATAGAGTGTTGGAAAATTTGAGAGATTTTATTATTTTTGTTTTGATAAACAAAAAAACACAAAAAAAATCCAAGTGACAAAGTGTCATAGTATAGGTGGAGGTCCTGGACCCAAACTTAGTCGGCTCAAGCAATGGAGCAAACCAATGCTAGCTATGTCATCACAATATTAAAAAGAGTTGGACATTTAATTTTTATGCTTTCAAAAACCAATATTTGAAAAAAAAATATGAAGGTAGAATTTATTAAATTAATACGGTATTAACAAATCATTTGATAAATAAAATCTAGTGAAAAAATATATTATGTAGTATTTTTTTTTTGGAATTGAGAACCTCTCTAAAGCAAGTTACGTTGACACATCCATATAAAGTAAATCCTGGATACACACAATCACTAGCCGATCATGTGTATTGGATAGGTTTTGGCATATCACTAGAAAAAATT